GAGGAAAGGCATGCTATATTGAATTTCAGCGGGAGGTGAGCAGTCTGAAATGAGGGGTGGTTCTGTTGTTTTCATCCTCCGTTTTTTGTTTCTAGCCAGAAGACACTCTAGGCAGTCTTTGTGATGCCAGGAGGGCAGGGTCCCAGGCTGGACAGGAAGCCAGAGTAGGTACAATTCTGGGTCTTGTCCTTATTTAACCTCTGTTACTGTTTGGAAATAAATGCAATACCTAATAGATTTTCCACGGAAATGTGGCATTACCAGGGAATAGTCCATTCTTTTGGCTGCCTTAGTAGGGCAGATTTGGTGCTACAAAACTTTCTCACCACGTGTCATCTAGACTTGGGTAGAGCACAAGGTTTGTTTCCCTATTTGCTGCCTCTTGGGAAGCGGGTGAATCCCGAATAGCACTGTCAGGTCATACTGGTTTCTCGCTTCTTCTCCATCTGTGCTCTCAAGTACCATCCTTGGTGGGTGTTACTGATTAAAAATCCACTTGAAAGCATTCTTCTTCAGGATTGCAGTAAATTGGTTCCAGAACAATTGTGGTTTTTAATACAAAATACAGCTAATTGGCTTCAAACAAGAGATTTGGTGCCCAGACTGCAGAGGAATCCACTCATGAGACCAAGGCGTAACTGGCTTTTCTCCATTCCATCTCATGGTCAGGGGATGATGGGAGACTAGAACGGTGTGCATGGGGAGGGAGGCTTAACTCATGCACTGCTGGGGGCCTCCCCAAGACATATCATTAGGCAGCAAACAGATGACAAAGCTGTCATTTGGACAAAGTTGGTTGAAAGGAAAACACTCCCATTTGGCTTAGAAAACCAATCCCTGTCTCCGTGAAAAACACCTCTCACTTGCAACTTTCCCTCCAGGACAAAACTCAGAGGTCAAGATTCTGACTCTCTTCAAGTCTAAAGACAAAATAAGATGAGGGATCAATAGAAGGGGAAAAAATGAGATGTCACATGTGACTTTAGATAAGCCCAACATCTCTAAAAAGGAGATAAAACACCTATTTTCACCTATATTTAAAAAACAAAAAAATTCCACAATAGAAACCACCAGGGCACCTTAGGAGGTAGCTTAAATGAGCCCATCTAATCTGCAAGGATGTTGTACATTGAACCCATTGGAGGCACTGACAAATACATTGCTTTTAAGAAATGCTACCCTTCAAATTTGTTAGGAATCCAAACACACTGAACTAATGGTCCTTCTCATTAGAAATTCATGTCATATGGTAGCTTTTCATTTACAGAAACCATTATAATAGTCAAGAAAAGTAATGGTGACAGTTTCTATTTTTAGTTGTGAGACTTTTTCTTTGGTTCACTGCTTTTACTATAAATGCAGGGCCTTTTTCTTTGGATGGAGGAATTACATACCATTTGGTTTATTGGCTGCTTTTTTCTTAGCATTCTATAGCCTCCACGAAGCAATAAAAATGTCTTGGGATTTGACAAAGCTGGGTTTTGATCTAGCCCTGACATTTACTGGGTATGATTCTGAGTTATTTAAATCTCAATCTCACTTCTAAAATAGGGATGCCTATCCTACTAGAAATTGCAATTAGAACTTGTGGAAGTCATTTCTGCTTCTTACTCCCTCATCTGCTACAGTACTTCAACTGACCAGGGTCTCACTCTTGCCCAGGCTGGAGTGCAGTGGCATGATTACAGCTCACTGCAGCCTTGAACTACAGGGCTCAAGTGAGCTTCTTGTGTTAGGCCCCTCAGTGGGAGGAAAGGGATGAGATACTGAACTGCAGTGAGGTGAGCAGTCTCAAATGACAGGTGGTTCTATTGCTTTTGACTTATTCTCCTCTTTTGTTTCTAGCCAAAGGACACTCACCAGTCTTTGTGATGCCAGGAGGGCTGGACCCTAGACTGATTTGAAAGCCAGAGTAGGTACAATTTTGGTCCAGCCTTGCAAGAAGCTGGGGCTACACCGAGCACAACACCCAGGTAGGGATTTTTATTTTTTTTTATGGAGCCAGGGTCTTGCTATGTTGCTGAGGCTCACCTTAAACTCCTGGATTTGAGTGGGTCTCTTACATCAGCTTCCACACTTGGTAACCAACCTTTATTTACTACTACTTGGCTGCTAGCTCCAGCCATTCTCTTGCCTGGGCCTCCCAAGTGCTAGGATTACAGGTGTGAGATACCACCTGGCTCCACTGGGCCTGTATTAAAGGGCTATGTGTATGGAATATATACACATACAAACACACTCCTCCCCCACCCCGATTCTCAAATCAGAGAGGTAATGCCACTGCTGTATAAAACTTGATCTTGGTGTTGATGTAATTTGTTTTACCAGTTGAGTCTGTACTATAATTGTATGCTATGAGGGAGGGGGAGTTTGAAGGCAAAGCCCTCCTCCAATTGAAAAGACTGAGTTACTAAAACTTAATCATGTAATATAAGAAGTATTTCTTTTTTTCCTTTGTGAGACAGAATCTTACTTTGTCACTCTCAGTAGAGTGCCATGGTGTCATAGCTCACAGCAACCTCAAACTCTTGGGCTGAAGTGATTCTCTTGCCTCAGCCTCCCAAGTAGTTGGGACTACAGGTTCGAGATGAGGTCTTGCTCTGGCTCAGGCTGGTCTCAAACCTGTGAGCTTAGGCAATCCACCTGCCTTAGCCTCCAAAGTGTGAGGATTATAGGCTTGAGCCACTGCGCCTGGCCAGCATAGGAAATATTTCAATAGGAAAAGGGAAAGGAGATCATTTATAGAATAGGAAATTACAGTCAAGCCAAGGTACATGTAGATAACAGTGAGAAGATGGAGGACAGAGCTTATGTTTGAAGTTTCTTTCATCCTACGGTTGTTTTTAACCCTGCCATTTTAATAGTCATCCCAAAAGTTCCAGGAAACCCTACATTCTTTTCTTCAATCAAGGTTCCAATGATTATCACACTCTCTAGGCAGTATATATATTTTTTCTTTTGAGACAGTCTCACTATGTCGCCCTGGGCAAAGTGCTGTGGCGTCACAGCTCACAGCAACCTCAAACTCTTGGGCTTATGCAATTCTCTTGCCTCAGCCTCCCAAGTAGCTGGGACTACAGGTGCCCGCCACAAGGCCCAGCTATTTTTTTACTGCCGTTGTTTACTTGGCCTAGGCCTGGTTCGCCCCCGCCACCCTTTGTCTATGTGGCTGGCACTATAACCACTGTACTACGGGCACTGAGCCCTCTCTAGACAATATTCCCCTGCAACTTAGCTTGGTACCATCAAGGCAAAAGGGATTTGCCCAATTTCACAGGTTAGGCTTACTAGATATCCTTTAATCTAGGTTTCTATTATCCACTGAGTCAGTGCACTATTTCTTGCATGTATATCTTAAGAGTATCTAACTGCACTTACTGGTCCCTGAATTAACTTCTGACTTTTATGTTAGAAGTTTATAATAAAATTTTATGGAGGACCATAGATATATGACCCCTACTTGGCCTATAGTTTGGATGAAGCAAGACCGAAATGGCTGGACTAGTACTTTGAGCAATCCCAGGCCTCTGTGAAATTTCTCAGCAGTCCAACTTGCACTGGCAAAACCGAAGTCTTGGCGCCCTCTGGTGGTAGACTGGTTATCAGTCAGACACGCTTCTCAACTAGGAACAGGCAGGCGTGTATGTGTACAGAAGCCACAGGATAAACATGCCATGTTTTCCTAGATCATCTTTACTTGAAGATTTTTGGGGAGAAAAAAGTAGGCAATGCAAAACATTTTTATATTAAAACAAATGCAGATAATATAGAATAGTATATAAAATTTACATTACTTTTGAGACAAGAGACATAAAAGATATTTCAAGCTAAGCTAGCTATGAGCTTCAGGTTGTATTCCTAAAACCTGGGTGAGGGAAGAGAACCCTGCATGCTCATTCTAATCTAATATTATGGGTGCTGCAGCTTTGACAGAGAAGTCTCAGAAGCAGCAAACTAAGTGCTTACTCATTTGGCAACATCTCAGTGGATTAGTTAAATAAGGGAAACCACAGGCTTTCTCCTTTTAGAGCATTATTTTAACCTGCTTTTAAAAGGCCTGAGCAAATAGGAGCTTTATGCTGGAGTTGAATTTTATTTCCTCCTGAAGTGATTTTTTTCCCCCTCCTATAAACGTGTGTTAATACGCCTAACAGAGAGCACGACATGCGAGGTGGTCAGTATCCTAAGACCCCTGACTTTAGCCCACGTTATCAGATGCGGAATTATGAATATCCTTTCCAAGGCTGTCATCAGGAATAAAAAACAAACTACTCACCTTCTGCAACAATAAAAAAAAGTTAACAAAATGAGAAACTGAAGAACAAAAGATTATATACAATTAGAACCATATAATGATGTAATTTAGGGATTGGCAAAGACTTAGCTTTTCAAGAAGGGGGCTACTGCTATAGCATTTGCTTTTCGTATTTTAAGTGATAACAAGAACTTCTGGGGGAAAAATTCATTATATATTTCCTTTCCAATTCTTGCTTATTCTCTCTTATCCTTTTTCTTCATTGCCGACACTTTACCATTCTGCAGTAATAGACTGAAGGTGTGGATGCCTCCCATAGAGATTTTCTAGGGTAACATGGCAACGAATTGTCCTTTTGTTGAGGTATGAGAGACAACATTAACCAGATGTGCTTAGAAGCATATAATAGGAGGCAGATTGTGGTGGATGCTGTTGAATTTCTAGATCTATCTAAGGAAAGGTCATTCATAAACTCCCATATAGTTTGCTTATTAATTTCTTCAAGTTTTATAAAATTATTTCTTTCTTCTTGGGATTCTACTCTTATTCCACAAAGCCAAAATCACACGACCCAAATCACACAACAACCTGCCTCTACCTTTAGGAAAATACAACTTTCTTCTATTTAAGTGAAATGAGAATCTGGAGGAAAAGAGTCCCATTTCAGAATAACTAAAGAGGAAATATCAGTGGTAAAGTTACGTTGTGGTAGGAAAAAGAACAAAAAAGGCAGACACCAAACACCTCCATTTTCCCAAGATTAAATGATTATTAAAAAAGCGTGCCACACTGTATAGAAATCAACATTCTCTCCCATAATTCTGTGCGTCTGGGACTATAGAAATGTCACTGTCCCTGCCCCACATCTTCAAATTAACATTCTCAGGTCACAACAATAAGTCTTCCCAAAGGGGACCTTCCGGAAAAACAAGCTATTTCCTCGGCTCATATTTCCCTGGAAAAAAAACATAAACACAAATAAAGTCTAGCATGAAGATGAGGTTGACCAATCCAAATCAGCAGAGAGATCCAACTGGACATGTTTCTGGGACACATACTAAATGAAACTGGGATGATCACTAGGGACCAGGGATCCGTAACCTCTGACAGGTCGACTACTGCAGAACTAGGTAACTATAACTTCTCTTCATTGGTAAGGCCAGAATTTCTTACTTATTCAGACTGTCCAGTTTGGATACTGGCTTTGCTACTTTCTGGCTGGGTTATCAAATGACAGAATACACGGAAAGCTTTTATAATAGTGGCTAACACTAAGCGCTAGCTTTTTTTTTGTAGAGACAGAGTCTCATTTTATCACCCTTGGTAAAGTGCCGTGGCATCACACAGCTCACAGCAACCTTCAACTCCTGGGCTTAGGTGATTCTCTTCCTTCAGCCTCCTGAGTAGCTGGGACTACAGGCGCCCACCACAACACCCGGCTATTTTTTTGTTATTGTTGGCAGTTTTGGCTGGGGCTGGGTTTGAACCTGCTACCCTCAGTATATGGGGCCAGTGCCCTACCCACTGAGCCACAGGCGCCACCCCAAAGTGCTAGCTTTTATTTATTTTTTAATGAAACCTTCAGGTTTCTAAGGAGTACTCATAAAATCTTACAATTAAATGGAGTGGGCTAATGTCACTATAATTTTGTTCAGGTGAGTGCAGAACCTGGAAAAGCTGTTGCTGCTATTGATGCATAACATACTGCTGTTACTGGTCTTTTTATCTATCTATCTATCCACACACACATATATGTAATTTGAATTTTTGGAAACTTTAACTGTGCTGTCAACTTTGGAAAAGGTGTATCCTAGTTTACTGTGTTGAGTTGGCATTTTACAGAAATTAACAGCCATATCGGTCTAGAAATGTTAAACTTAATTTTTTTCCATTTGTACAGGGGTAGCACACTGTATTAAATATGTAAGGTCTTATCTACATGGATTTGGTTACAGAAACTAATAAAGTATTCTCTAAATAATAAAAAAAAATCTTACAATGAAAGTAATAATTGAACACGCTCTGAAGTAGAAGTCTCAACTCTCCCCAGTATAGGCTGTGTGACGTTGGGTTATATAACTGGCACTAAACTGCTGTAAAGTCTCAGTTTCTTTTTATGTAAGATGGGATTATAGTGCCTATCCTTATTCAGTTATTTTAAGAATTATATGAGCTGATACATGGAAATCTCTTGGTATCATGTCTGGTAAATAATAAACGCCCAATCAAGATTTGCTGTTGTTGGCTTGGCGCCTGTGGCTCAAGCGTCTAAGGTGCCAGCCATGTACACCTGAGCTGACAGGTTGGAATCCAGCCTGGGCCTGACAAATAACAATGACGGCTGCACCCAGAAAATAGCCAGGCATTGTGGTGGATGCCTGTAGTCCCAGCTACTTGGGAGGCTGAGGAAAGAGAATTGCTTAAGCCCAGGAGTTGAACGTTGCTGTGAGCTGTGATGCCACAGCACCTAGGGTGACAGCTTGAGGCTCTGTCTCAAAAAAAAAAAGAAAAATGATTTGCTGTTGTCTCAACCACCTAACAGGTTCAACTATTCCATATGTAAGTATGTTTAACATTTAATTCAGTTTTTATCTGATTTCTTCCTATAACGGGAAAGAAAGCAGAGGAAGAAAGGCTATCTTTCCTTTTAGATAGGGATCACACTAGGAAGTTGTCCAATCAAGAGTATAAAACTCAGAATGAAACCCTGAATGTGCAGGCTTGAACTGAAATTCAATCACTCAAGTGTTCTTGTCTAGATTTGCAGAGGGGCCTGCTGGACATGTGTGCTACACAAAAGCGGCCACAAGTAACACTTAAACCTTGTCATTCAGAGTTCAGACTGGGGTTCACTGAGCTCTGTGAACAAAGGCCTTTCTCATGTGTATCACTGGTGCTATACCATAACACAAAGAGCTTCTTTATACACTTTCTTATGTAATCCTTTAAAAAGTGGTGCCCACTCAAAAACAGCTTTGAACTGATGGTCATTTTAATGATCTGAGTTTCGCTATGTTGCCTCAAACTCTTGGGCTCAAGTGATCCTTCTCCTTTGGGTTTCCAAATAATTGGGACTACAAGTGCATGCTACTGCACCTGGGCATTATTTTATTTTCTATTAAACCGGTGCTTAGATCAAGCAAGAATTTCTGGCTGCAGGTTAACTGCAGGTTATGCACATCACAGTAATAACTAACCACAAATTGCAGTATAGACAACATCATCTATTCCTAAGACTCTGGAAGTATGAGACCAGCACTGTTAATACCACTGTGACAAATAATTTGTAATAAGTAAGTAATTTCTCAATTTTCAATTTCCTCATCTATACTATGGAGAAACACTGGAATATACAAGGAGATTCTGAATTAAAAAAAAGAGTTTGGAAAAAAAAACGAAAAGAGTCTGAAACCAAGCCTATGTATGATTTTAATAACCAGGGTAATTATCCCTGGACCCTGTTTGTAACTTGAATGTGGTCACTCACATGGCTTCTAGACCATCACACTGAGGGATTCCCACTTCTTCATTACCTCTGCCAATGATTTCTAAGCATCACATTTAATAAGAGTTAATGTAGGATTCCAGAGACATTTAAGAAAACCAAAAACCAAAACCAAATTGACGAGAGAGAGAGAGAGAGAGAGAGAGAGAGAGAGATACCTCCTTTTGTAGCATGCTCCAGCAATCTATCCAAGAAGTATATATTGGGGAGTAAGGAGGAGATCCACCAGCAAGCCTGAAACAGAAAAGATTAGCTATTCGTGTTAATCTTTATAAAACATTCCCTCAAGAATTTGATAAACCTTCATCAAAATAGTTTTTCGTGTAGAAGGCTCCGCCCAGAGTCAGTATTAGTTTTTTTTTTTTTTTTTTTTTTGAGACAGAGTCTCACTCTGTCACTTGGTAGAGTGCCATGGCGTCATAGCTCACAGCAACCTCAACTCTACGGCTCAAATGATCCTCATGCTTCAGCCTCCTGAGTAGCTGGGACATCTGCCATGATGCCTAGCTAGTTTTTCTCTTTTGAGACAGAATCTCAGGCTTTTGCCTTGGGTAGAGTGACATGGCATCATCATAACTCAGAGCAACCTCTTGGGCTCAAGCAATCCTCTTGTCTCAGTTTTTTCTATTTTTAGTAGAGACAGGGTCTTGTTTTTTTGCTTAGGATGGTCTCAAACTCATGAGCTCAAGTAATCCACCTGCCTTTGCCTCCCAGGCAGTATTAGTTTTTTCTTGAGACAGAGCCTCAATCTGTCGCCCTGGGTAGAGTGCCATGGTATCATAGCTCATAGCTACCTCCAACTCCTGGGCTTAAGCGATTCTCTCTCTTTTTCCTTAAATTTTATATGAAGTTTTATTCTCAAAATATAAAAAAACAAAGAAACTAAGATATTATTTCACAGCACTTGTTTGCCTCATTCTTTATGAAGACACAGTTCAAACTAATGGGATAAGCAATTCTCTTGCCTCAGCCTCCCAAGTAGCCAGGACTACAGGCGCCCACCACAACGCCTGGCTATTTTTTGGTTGCAGTTGTCCTTGTTGCTTGGCAGGCCTGGGCTGGATTTGAACCCGCCAGCTCTGGTGTATATGGCTGGTGCCTTAGCTGATTGAGCTACAGGCGCTGAGCCGAGTTTTTTTTTTTTTTTTGAGATAATAGTCTCACTTTGTAGCCTTCGATAGAGTGCCATGGTGTCACAGCTCACAGCAACCTCAAACTCTTGGGCTCAAGCAATTCTTTTGCCTCAGCCTCCCAAGTAGCTGGAACTATAGGCACCCCACAACGCCTGGCTATTTTGAGAGATGAGGTGTCGTTCTGGCTCAGGCTGGTCTCTAACCAGTGAGCTTAGGCAATCCACCCGCCTCAGGTCCCCCAAGTACTGGGATTATAGGCGTGAGCCACCATGCCTGGCTGGCAATATTAGTTTTTTTTTTTTTTTTTTTTTTTGCAGTTTTTGGCTGGGGCTGGGTTTGAACCCGCCACCTCCAGCATATGGGACCAGTGCCCTACCCTTTTGAGCTACAGGCGCCACCCTGGCAATATTAGTTTTAATGAAACAAATTATATGGGAGCAAGGGAAAGATCAAATATCTAAAAGGGATTTCCTTCCCTTATATTTAGGTTCCAATGAATAAATAAAGTTCAATCTTATTTTCTAAAACATTTCAGTTTTTCATTTGTAAACAGATGAAACTCTAGAACAGGCTCAGCGCCTGTGGCTCAAGTGGCTAAAGTGCCAGTCACATACATCTAAGTTGGTGGGTTTGAATCCAGCCCGGCCTGCCAAACAATGATGGCTGCAACCAAAAAATAGCCAGGCATTGTGGTGGGCGCCTATGTTCCCAGCTACTTGGGAGGCAGAGGCAGGAGACTCGCTTGAGCCCAGGAGTTGGAGGTTGCTGTGAGCTGTGATGCCACGGCACTCTACCCAGGGGGACAGCTTGAGGCTCTATCTCAAAAAAAAAAAAAGAAACTCTAGAACACAGCAAGTATATGATTAAAGAGGAGGAAAAGGGGATTTGAAAACTATTTGGCGGCTCAGCGCCTGTGGCTCAAACAGCTAAGGTGCCAGCCACATACACCTGAGCTGATAGGTTCGAATCCAGCCCGGGCCCACCAACAACGATGGCTGCAACCAAAAAATAGCCAGGCGTTGTGGCGGGCATCTGTAATCCCAGCTACTTGGGAGGTGGAGGCAGGAGACTTGCTTGAGCCCAGGAGTTGGAGGTTGCCATGGAGCTTGAGGCTCTGTCTCCAAAAAAAAAAAAAGAAAAAAAAAAAGAGAAAAAACTAATTGGCATTCACAAAGAACCTAAATGTGGCAGTATATATAAAGAGTGGTGACTTGGCAGTGCCTGTGGCTCAGTGGGTAGGGTGCCGGCCCCATATACTGAGGGTGGCGGGTTCAAACCTCAGCCACCATGGCCAAACTGCAATAAAAAATAGCCAGGTGTTGTGGCAGATGCCTATAGTCCCAGTTACTTGGGAGGCTGAGGCAAGAGAATCGCATAAGCCCAAAATCTGGAGGTTGCTGTGAGCTGTGATGCCATGGAACCCTACCTGGGGCAACATAGTGAGACTCTGTCTTAAAAAAATAAATAAAATAAAGAAAGAAAGAAAAAGAAATAAAAAAAGTACTTACCCACAGTTGTTCACAGCCATAAGATTAGAGACAAGCACAAAGGGATAGGTCAACATACTGGCAAAAAACTGTAAAATGGTAAAAAGACAGCTGTGTTAGTAGGTCATTCCTTCCCCCCTTCATTCTCTTCTTTTCTCTCCCTTAAAGGCCTAGCACCATGTGATCAAATACTCCAACACTGGTCTTACTTTCTCAGTACTAAGACTAAGTTGTGCATTTTTGAGCCTGGAAATATTTCTTCCTCTTAACATACCACTACATCAAGATTGTAACAAAAGTCCAGAAGACTTCTCTTAACATTGTGACTGAGTCTTCACTCAAATCAAACTGAACTACATCATTTAGGAGAAAAAGTACACCCTTTTAAACGCTGACTAGCATCAAACCATAGGCTGTTATTATTGCTCTGAGGTAGGACCTCTGAATCATTCTTACCTTTGACAAATATTAACATACTTGAGGGAGATTTCCCAGTGAGAGATCTGGTTATCTAAAAGTAGTGATGACACAGGCCACATTTAAAAGAAAAACAAAACATCACTATTCCCAGGAGATTAAAAGAATTAAACAAACAAACAAACTCACTCCTGTGACAGCTTGGGAATAACTTTTCATTTCATTCATGGTGGAAACCTAAAACAGGAAAAGAGCCTTAAGTTAACTGCCCACAACTCTATCAATATATTCTATCTCTAAATCATCAGTTTCTTTAACAGCTTGAAAATTAACGTTGAGGATAAAATCGTAACAAATACTAATTATGAAAAAAAAGGGCAGTGATCAAAATGATCAACCTGATTTGACATTAAAATTCGTATTAGGCTAGTCTAATATGAGGAACAAATGTAATAGCCTCAAGCTCTCAAAAATAAAAGAAAAGAAGATTGGTAAACTTTCCCCAAGTCATAGAAATATAATCTTTGGAAAACTATATTTATACTATATCCAAGGGACAAGTCACTAACTCTGCATACAGTTAGCTTTGTACCAGATGCTTTGGAGAAGATCTCTATACTCAAAAGATTTAGACCGGGTGCAGGGCTCATGCCTGTAATCCTAGCATTCTAGGGAGGCCAAATTGGGAGGACTGGTTGCGCTCAGGAGTTCAAGACCAGCCTGAGCAAGTGCAAGACCCTGTCTCTATTAAAAATAGAAAAATTAACCATGTGTTGTGGTGGGTGCCTGTAGTCCCAGCTACTTCAGAGGCTGAGGCAGGAAGCTCACTTGAGCCCAGGAGTTTGAGGTGCTGTGAGCTAGGCTGATGTCACTACACTATACTAGCCTGGGGCAACAGAAAATAAAAAAATAAAAAAGACTGAGATGGACTAGTCACATACCTTGGTGCATTCAGTTTTTCATCATGTCATGGAGCTATCTACAAAGAGGCCCCACAACTGCTAAGGTAGGACAGACAACTTCTAGATAAGGCTGATTCTCAAAACCTCTCAGTCTGAGGTTTCCAGAAAGCCCAATACGGGAGTCTCCTTAACACTCCTTATTAAAAGAAAAGCCTCAGATATGCCATAAAGCTGTCTCTCTGCTACATCATGTCCTCCAAGACTAGTTGTCAATAAAGAAGTGATCTCCTTAAAGCCCTTGAACTATCACAGGGCTAAATCTCTGGGGTACACTCTATCTACACCTCAAAACTTTCTGGGTACATCTCTCTATAGTAAACAGTATAGATCATTCCACCTATACTGGCCTTTGAAAATTTGACTAAGTTTTAGCTATATAATGCTCAGTCTGGAAAACTGTCACTTTACTTAAATGCTAACCTAACAGCCAAGTGAATACAAAAAGCCAGCATCAGCACACCTCACCAAGGTCACAACCTACCCCACTGTCCAGTGCATAGGTATTGACGAGGTAGGCCAGTGAGTTACAGAGCCACAAAGAAATGATGTCACCTAGGAGGCGAGGAACAAGACCCCTACGTGAAGAAACAATAAAAATAATCAAAAATGTGATCAGTAAAAAGACAATTAAGAGATTTCAAAACATTTTAGGGAACAGAAAGAGATCTCAAATGCCAGAGTCTAGCCCTCATGCCTAGTTCATTCTAGTTAACAGAGCCATAGTCAAGGATGATTTCTAACGACTCTTGTCACCTAAAATGCAGGGCAGCTGTACCCCTCTGAACTATGGCTAATGCCTCATTTCACTATTAATAACTATAAGCACAGAGGCAAAATGTTTATGAGGCACCTTGGAGAAGGGGATTAACTACGGTTTTCTTCAAATATCCAACATTAATAATATTTGGCAGGGCAAAAGATGAGAAAAACTACAAAGTAAGAGTGGTCTGAGCACAGGTATAGAAGAGAAGCACCAAAGACATGGTTCTAACACATGAGTGACTCGGTGAGGCAATGTGGAATAGTGGGAAGAACATTACCCCACAGACCAAAGACCAGGGTTCACATGCCAAATCTACCATTATTCAGCCTCATGAGGCAGCAAATGAATGTCCCTAAGCACCACTGGTTTTAGTCTCTAAAATTTTAGAGACAGGTAATAGCTATCCATCCTGCCTCCCAGATTTTTTATTTTTTAGAGACATAGTCTCTAAAATGCCTATGTGCAGTCTGGAATATAGTGACTATTCACATGTGTGACCATAGCACACTATAACCTCAAACTCCTGGGCTCAAGCAATCCTCCTGCATCAGCCTCCTGAGTAACTGGACTACTGGCATGCACCAGTGCGCCTGGCTCTCCCAGAGTACTTACGATACTTAAAATCAAGTTTGTGGAAACATTCTGAAAATTAAAAGGGATCATTTAGTTAATGTACAATTTTTGTTAACAGAGCGAGTTCTTCCAAAGTAAACTCAAGCCTTGCAAAAACTTACTCTCATAAAAAAAATACATGTTAAGATGATTTTCCCGGCTGGGTGTGGCAGCTCACACCTATAAACCCAGCACTTTGGAAGGGAGAGGCAGTAGGACTGCTGTTGGAGACCAGCTTGGGCAATAGAGACACTCCATATTTACAAAAAACTCAACAACAAAAAACCCCAGGCATTATGGTGAGCACTTATGATCCTAGCTACTTAACTAGTAGGCAGGAAGTAGCTGAAGAACTAGGACTAGGTAGGAGGCTGAAGCATGATGACACCTTGAGCCCAGGAATTCAAGGCTATAGTCAGCTATGATCATGCTACTATTACTCCAGCCTGGAGTAAGAAAGTAAGACTTTGTTTCTTTTTTAAAAAAATTATTTTCCGGCTTGGCACCTGGAGCTCAGTGGCCAGGGTGCCAGCTACATACACCAGAGCTGGAGGGTTTGAATCCAGCCTGAGCCTGCCAAACAACAATGACAACTACAACCAAAAAATAGCTGGGCATTGTGGTGGGCGCCTTGTAGTCCCAGCTACTTGGGAGGATGAGGCAAGAGAATCGCTTAAGCCCAAGAGGTTGACATTACTGTGAGCTGTGACGCCACGGCAGTCCACCAAGGATAATAAAGTGAACACTGTCTTAAAAAAAAAAATTATTTTTGTATTTAAAAAAATTAATTTTCCTCCTTTTATTAACTGTACGTAATTGGGAGCAATTGGGAGCTCTGGGAGACTGAGGCGGGTGGACAGCTTGAGCTCACAGGTTTAAGACGAGCCTGTGGGCGGCACCTGTAGCTCACTGGGTAGGGCGCCAGCCACATATACTGAGACTGGTGGATTTGAACCTGGCCCGGGCCAGCTAAGGCAACAATGACAACTGCAACAAAAAAATAGCTGGGCGTTGTGGCAGGTGCCTGTAGTCCCAGCTACCTGGGAGGCTGAGGCAAGACAGTCACTTAAGCCCAAGAGTTTGAGGTTGTGGGCAGCGCCTCTGGCTCAGTGAGTGGGGCACCAGCCCCATATACCGAGGGTGGTGGGTTCAAACCTGGCCCTGGCCAAACTGCAACAAAAAAAAA